TTCAGTAGTAGAGAAAAAATTTAGTCAGACAAAAATTTGTACTACTAAATTTTAGTTGTAAAAAAAATTAATCCAGACAAAAGTTTTTACTAATAAATTCCAATAGTAAAAGTACGTTTGATCAAAAATATTTTTACTAATAAATTTCAGTAGAAAAGGAAAAATTCATACATCAGACAAAAGTTTATATGAATAAATTTCAATTGTAAAAAATTATTTTAGAGAAAAGTGTAACAAATATAATTATGTTTGTTTTAATTATATAAGTGGAAAAAATATGTTTAGTCAGACGAAACTTTCTAATAATGTAATTTAGTAGTAAAAACATTTTTAGTCAGACGAAACTTTCTAATATGTTAATTCAGTAGTAAAAACATTTTTAGTCAGACGAAACTTTGTAATATGTTAATTCAGTAGTAAAAACATTTTTAGTCAGACGGAACTTTGTAATAATGTAATTCAGTAGTATAAACAGTTTCGAGTCAGACGAAAGTATTTAAATTAAAATCATCGCCGAGAAATTAAATCTCCTTTTTTATAAATATTTCTACAAGTAAAAATTTTACTTTTATATGACTTATTGTAGTAAAACTACATATATATAATTTTACTGAAATAAAAACGATGACGCCTGGATTTTTTAAGTATTTTATCATCAACGTTTTTTTGCCTATTACAACACACATCAGGAAGCTTGGTATGCGCATACCAACCATCGGTATCGTGATTGTGATTTACATACTTTGAGTGCTTTACTCACAGCATGTAGAAAAATAGAAAAAAAAAATTCCCCACTCAAAAAAAAAAAAAACGTTTAACGATAAATCTCATTTTTCACACTCAGCAAAAAAAAAACTATTTTTTTTCTCTATTCTTTTTTTGTAATTATCAAAAACGAATTCACCAGAAAAGGCAAAAATAAAAATTAAATTCGAAATAAAAAAAAGAATTCTCTTTTTCCCCATTTCAAATAACACTTGAACAGTATTCAAGGAGGTGAAAAAAAGGTGATGCGAGAATTGTGAACTGGTCATATGGATAAACATTGAATTTTTAAAAAGAAGATGGCAAAATATTTCTGAAGAGACTGAGAGAGAGAGAAAGAGAGAATAAAATTTTACGCTTTATTCAAAATGCCAACGATGTGAAAAGATGTCTTCAAATGCCATCAGTAAAATTTCTTATAATATTCACGCTTCAGAAAATTCAATATTCCACTCGGGAAAATTTTTTTTCTCCTTTTTTTTATGTATATATAATAAAAAAAATTATCAAATGATTTTTCGGTGATTCGGATAAAATTGAAAATTAAAATTATTGAACTCAATTTCTTTTATTTTAGAATTTTCTTTATATATGATTTCATGTGAAAGAAAATGAAGTTTTGAAAGAAAACTCATAAAAATGGGGAAAGATTGCAAAAACTCTTTTGTTCTATTATATTACCTATACTCTTTTTTTTTGTTCCGTAAATCGTTATGCAATTCTTTTGTTATAAATCGTTTCAAGTACTTTTAAAATCTCCTATATCTCTGAAATTGATCAAATCGTTTTTGATTTATTTCGCAAAGGAATATTTTTCTTTCTTTTTTATTTTATTGTCGCGCACAGTTTCAATATACACAAAAAATGTGTATTGATTTCAATTTTTTATTATTTTTTAAACTTCACTTTCTTATCATTTATTAGTATTTGTATTATTTTTTTTTTATTTTTATATTGAATTTTTCTATTATAATTTATTAACAATTTTTAATAAATTTGTTCATTATCATAAGTTTTAAATTAAAATAAAAGTGTAAAAATTGATAGTTTTTTTTATTCGAAAATAATGAAAAAGCAGATAACAAAGGAAGATTTAATGGGCAATATTTTAAGAACCAAAACACTGGAATTTGAATATAAAAATAATAAAATCCATTTTCGTAAAATAATATGTCTGCGATGGACACAATTATTGAAAAAGTTTTAAATTATTTTCTTATTTGGTGAATAATAAAATTTTCTATTTCAATTTTTTGTATTTTCTACTTTTGAAAAAAGAAATATTTTGAAATTAATCACCGCACTGGGGAGGAAAAAAAATACGTGCGTAAAAGAATAAATTCAAAATCGTTAAAAAAAAGTTAAAAACTTTAAAACTGGGTGTACACAATAAAAGGAGGAAATAAAATGCTGAATAAAATATAAACAAAGTATTTAGAATTCTGGTCTGTGGGAAAAGTTTGAGAGCCTCGTTTATAAGGAACTTTAACTCTTTTACGTTTCCTCTGTTGATCGTAAGCTTACAATGTCCCTAGACTGCAGTTTCTAATCCAAAATTTTGTCTCAGGAAATCTCACTGCTGAAAGTTTATCCTTAACCTAAAGTATCCTTTTGCGAAGTTGCGCGGTAAATGTTTCTTCACTTATAAGCCTTGACAATTTAAAAAGAGCATTCGAAATTTTTATTATTATCCTTTCATGCGGAAAATATTTTATAAATACCTAGTCGGTTACTATTTCTTTCGAGATTATTTTTTCAACTTTCCTCTATTTTTGGTTTTATCATTTAAAGCTATAAAAGTTTTCGAAATTATTTTTATGTTTATTTTATGTCTCATTTTTTTTTAAATATAATTTTTCTAGATGAGAATTTTTCTTGAATAGTTTGTAATTTAAACTAGAATTTTTTTTAAATATTGTTTTTCAAACTAAAGTTATTTTTAAACCACAGTTACTTTTAAAATAAAATTTTTTCTAAATATTTCATTTTCTTGAAGAAAATTTATTATATATATTTTTTATTTAATTTAAAAATAAAGCAACTTTTACTAATATTGACTGTAAAATTCACCACTTTGGAAATTGAAAGTCGATTTCTCTAAAATATTAAATATAAGAAAAGTTAAAATAATAATAAGAAATTCTGACGAGTTTAGAGCGCGATTTGTAATATAAGGCAATGTAACAAAGATGAAACGAAATCAAGACGATTATTGGTAATTAGTTGCGTGCTTTATCGAACTTGCTAATCACTGTGAGCGCACAGACAAGCAATGTCTGTGTATATAAATTTTCTTGAAGCGATATCTAAGTAAATCGATAGAGCAAAGTTTGACGAAGCAGCAACTGGGGTTTACGTGTAGAGAAACTTTGGAAAGTTTCACTTTGTCCTCTCTCGTATAATCTAATTGTCGATGATGCGCGTGGATTGAAAGGTCCATGGCTTGCTTGTGTCTATTCCTACGCCAATGTGGAGGAACCTAAAACCTTTCGTAACAAAATTAAACCCACACAAAAGAAATCATTGTCATAATATTCTCCTGTTCGATAAACAAAAATGTTATTGCCATCATTTTCAGAATACCCAGTTACGTCATTTTAGTTTTTTGTAAAAAAAATTTTTCTCTTCTTTATTCAGTTACTGTAAATATTTATTTATTTTGTTTATTATTACAAATTTTATTATATTTCTTTTATTTTTATTTATTATTACAAAATACTCATAAAAACGTACAAATAACCACAAATAATCACAAATAGTGTAAGAGTAATACTAAATTTACTATTTGTTAAGAATTGTCCCCTCTTTTTGTTTATTTTGATGGTAGATTTAGAATCGTCGACCTTATTTTAGTAGAAAACGAATACCATGAAGGTGGAGTTTATAAAAAGTACCAAATTTTGATTTTCGAAATCCAAATTTTGAATTTGAAAATCTAAGTTTTGATTTTTTGAAAGCTCTCAGATCGAAACCGTTTTAGTTGATTTGAAGTACAAGAAAAGTCAAAAAAAACGATTAGTTTGTTTTTATTAAATTTAATAAGTTAATATTTTGTTATTATTGTTATTATTATTATTTTACTTTTATTCTAATGGCAAATTTGAAATCTTCAACCTTATTTTAGTAGAAAACGACTACCATGAAGGTGGAGTTTATAAAAAGTACCAAATTTTGATTTTGAAAAAAGTTTTGATGTTTTGAAAAAGACATGAGCTCTTAGATCGACTTTGAGAAACCGGTTTGGTTGATTTAAAATACAAGAAAAGTAAAAAAAAAGATTCGTTTATTTTTACTAAATTTAATAAGTAAATATTTTGTTATTATTGTTATTATTGTTATTTTACTTTTATTCTAATGTCAAATTTGAAATCGTCGACTTTATTTTAGTAGAAAACGAGTACAAAGACGGTGGGGTTTGGAAAAAATTAAAAACTTCAATTTTGAAAATGTAAATTTTGAATTTGAAAATTAAAATTTTGATTTTTAGGATTTAAAACTATATAGCCGACAGTGGATTATTAAAATAAAGATTAAATTTTTATTATTTTAGTAAAAATTGAACAACAAACAAACAAATTAATTTAACGTATAATTAAAAAAAGATTTTTTTGTTTATTTATTGAATAAATAAAAATAAAATGAAAAATTTAAATAATAAATATTGTGTGGCTAAAAATGTATATGTATAGATTGGCAAAATTGAAATCGAATCAAGTAAATATTTACAATTTTTCCATAACGCATTTCTCGAAAATATTTTATTCTCATCGCTTTGATCGGAGAACCAGGAATCCACAAGCGAGAAAATTGACCATGAATACGTGTTTCCATCTTGGGAACCTATTTTCCACAAAGTTCAATTTGAATATGATAATGCAATACGAAAACAAACGGGAATCTGTTTCTATTCAAAGTTTACGAAAAAAACATCAATGTGTATTACAAAAATTTTCGTTTTATTACATTTTTATTAACTTCCATTGAAAATAACGAATAAGAGAACAATTTTTGTTTCAACTTTATTTCACATTCATTTTGATATATTTTTTTGTATTTTATAAATGATTTTATATATTTTTTAAAAATTTTTATAAAAAATGAAATTTTTTTTTATTTATATTACCTTTCCTATTTATAATACTCTTGGTATTAATATTATCAGACATTATTACATAATATTATTTAATATAAAATAATTTTTTTTTTAATAAAATTTGAATAAAATTTGAGTAAAATTTGAGTAAAAAAATATTTATTTCAAAAAAATTTGTCATTTACAAAATTTATACAAATCTTTTAATGCCGCGAGATGAAAATATTTAATCGAGATGTTTTATCTCGCATTTGGAAAGCCTCGATGTTATATTTTATATAGAAAGAGACCTCAGCTGCTGGGTTGACCCTTTTTTTCTCTCCTCGTTTACACTGTAAAAGAAAATTTATATCTCATATTAAAAAAAAGAAAAGGAAAATTTTATTAAGAGTAAAAAAATTTTTTACTTAAAAATTTTGTAACAAAAAAGTGTAATGTATTTTTTATTAATATTTACATCTTCTTTCCCCTCGGTCTATACAATTAATAAATAAAATAATTTAAAAAAATATATTTTTGGAAAAATAAAAAATTATATTTTCTAAAATTCTTTTATTTATTAATAAAATAAATAAAATAATTTGGAAAAATAAAAAATAGATTTTTTATAATTCTTTTATTTATTAATTTCTTTATTTATATTCGTTGAAATAAATTTTTAAAATTTTCCCGTTGTAAATATATTTTGTAATCTTTTTTTTTTTGTCTTTGTTTTTTGGTAATTGTAATATTGAAACCAGAATGTTCACTCCTAAGAACATGTACAAATGAAATCCAACAATGGTGCACGTGAATGTTCCAATTAGAATTTTTTATTTGCTCGTAAAAATTTCCCCCTAGATTTATGCTTACTCGAAAGCACTTCTAAAACTTCTGTGTAAAAATTTTCCCCGGAGAATTCTCTAAACGCACATTTTTTTAAAATTAAAATTCTCATTATCCACGCCCACGCTTTGAAAAAGAAATAAGAAAAAAGAGAAAAAAAGGAAAGGAAGTAGAAAAAAAAGTATTTAATAGAAGTTTGCCATTTGTGCATTTGAATCTAGATCGGTGAACTCTTAATTCCTTTTTTTAGTTTTATTACACTTTTAGTAATTTTCAAAAAAAAAAAAACATTTGAAAGCAAAAAAAGGGAAAAAGTATTTTTCTACTTAAATTCGATCGACTTCTGTAATTTTTACAGAAGGAAAATTATTTTTTATTCTTTACTATAAAAATTAACTTCAATATTGGTAAATTTTACTCATTGGAAAACAAAAAAAATTTCGAAAACTGCTTTATAGAAAAAGTATAGATTTTACTATACAAAGTAAAAAAAAGATGAAACTAGAAAGTGAAAAAGGAAAGTACAGTAAAAATTTAAATTTAAAAATAAAAATTTTCTCGTGTATGATAAAATTATTCATTGACAAATTTTCTCCCACACACAAAACATATTATAAACCTAATGAAAATTTAAAAATTGTCAACTAATTTGTTAATCATGAGGAAATTAAAATTCAACGTTCAATTATGAATGATGAAAAAAAAACTAATGCTCACTTTGTATACTTGAACGAAAAAAATTATTCTTTCGCGTATACCAACACGAAGTGATGAAAAATTGCAGAATAAGCGAGAAAAATTCATGTATGCAAATTTTTGGAAAACATTTAGTAAAACAAAATAAACAAGAATTTTCTTTTGTAGAATAATAGAAAAAAAGTGAATGATAAGTTTCTGAGTGGATACTTTATGTACCTAAGTGAATTTTTTTTTCTTTCTTTAAATTAATTCAAATCCTAGTACCTACGTTTAAAAGTGATCTGTCTAGTATTTGCGGAAAAGGCAAAACTTTAAATTGGAACAGCACAGCATGTAATTTATTCGTTCGACCTAATTTTTTTACCGCATTCGAATTTCCATTCTTCGTTCTTTCATCGCGTATATAGATATCATATACTAGAAACCATTGCAGCACTGTTATTATTTATTTAAAAAATATTAAAAAATAATAGAGTGCAAATTAATTAATAAACGAAATAGATTCTGAAAATAGTAGAGAAACAATGAATTGAAAAATATTTAAAAATATTGAAAAACATTAAAAATCAATGAATTGAAAAAAATTGATAAATGCAATAAATAAATGAAAATATTTATAAATAATATTTATTAATATTAATCGTTTCGTAAGGGAACTTTTACTACGAAGTTTTAAAAAGAAATTACATTTTTTGTCCAAAAATGGTAGACGGAAGACGTTTTTAAATTGAAAATAAGGTTCGGCGGCCCTGAAGGAGTGGGGGTAACCAATCACTATACGCTATTCCCCACCACTCCTCAAGTACCGACAATTAAGAATTAAATAATTTAAATATTAAAAAATATGCGAGTGGAAAATAAAATTATAAATAAAATACTCGAATAAAAATTGGTAAATATAAATAGTAAATTGAAAAATAAATTAATAAACAAAAATTAAATAAGTAAAAAAAATAAGGTGGAAAAGAAATTAATAAACATAAATTAAATAAGTAAAAAAATAAGGTAAAAAATTAGGTGGAAAATAAATTTATAAACATAAATTAAATAAACAAAACATAAATTTAAAAACAAATTAATAAACAAAAAAGTAGGTGGAAAATAAATTAATAAACATAAATTAAATAAACAAAAAATTAGGTAAAAAAAAATTAATAAACATAAATTAAATAAACAAAAAATTATAAAGTAAAAAAAAAATTTATAAACAAAAATTAAATAAACAAAAAATTATAAAGTAAAAAATAAATTTATGATAAAAAATTAAATAAACAAAAAATTATAAAGTAAAAAATAAATTTATGAACAAAAATTAAATAAAAAAGAATAAGGTGAAAAAAATAAGGAAAAGAAATAAAATAATAAAGTAGAAAATAAATTAATAAAGAAGAATAAATAAAAAGTAAAAACAAATTTTTTAAATTGAAATATAGTAAAGTAAAAAAATTTAATAAATAAAGTAAATAAATGAGAAACAATTGCGAATAAATAATGAAGCGAAAAATAAAAAAATTATCGAACAAAAGAGAAAATTTGAAAAACAAATCATATTCTGAATTTTGTAAATATTTACCCAGTGAATTAAAACGTTACATTTACCCATTTTTAAAATGCAATATTGATTTTATCCTTTCTTTCATTTTTTTTGAAAAAACATTTTCTATTTTAATTTTTGTTTACTCATACTTACACTACTACCCTTTAGGTATACTTAAAATTAAATGCTTCAAGTGGAAAAATATGAGACTAAGAATTTCTTTTTCTCTACAGTAATTATTTTCTTATTTTTTTTATAAAAAAATAATTCTAAAAGATTTATTTAAAGAAAAATGTTTTTAAATAATATAATTTTTCTAAAAGGTGTTACCGAAATACATATTTTTTGAAGGATTAAAGAAACATATATATATATATATATATATATATGTTGTGTGACGTGTTTTGAGTTTTTGTGTGAAGGATTTCTTGTGTAATGAGCGTTTTAAAGCAAAAGAGGCTTATTATTCACACACGGGTGACGATAGATTTAAAACTCTTCTTTGCACTTGAAAGATTCTAAAGGTGATGGAATATTCTTAAAAAATGTTTAAAGAATCGTATGTACAATTTTACTATTTTCGGAAAAATTTTTATTTTAATTTTCAAACAATTTATTTATAGTTGAATTTTAAAAATTTATGCGGTTGTTGACATTGTATTTTTTTAAATTTTATTTTTAAAGAATTTATATTTATTTAAAAAATAAAATGAACTACGTAGTTTCTTCCTTTCTTAATTCTTCTCGATAATTATTAAAATTTATTTTTTTTTCATTATATTGTTTCCTTTTTATTATATTTTTTCTTTTTTATTATATTTAATTTTCTCCATTTGAAAATTTTTTTTCTGTATTGTTATTTCATTCTTTTTTGACTTAAAAAAAATACTTTTCCTTTCTAAGTTTTTCTCAAGTTTTTAAACTTGAGAAAAAGGAAAAGTATTTTTTAAAGTTTTTTTAAACTTAGAAAGAAAAAAATATAAATATTTGTTTTCGAATTGTTTAAAAAACAAAAAATTTTTGATGAAAAAAAACATTTCTAGTTTTTATTTTTATTTTGAAAAAAATTATAAATACCTTTAGTTTTCTACTGAACACATTTCGTCAAATTTACATTCTTCGTCACTGTCGGGATAAATGTCCTTCATATTTGAAACAGGACATGGTAAATTTTCGGGACAATTTGGAAGTTTAACGATACGCTCTTGATGCATAAAAAGAATACTCGGTCCTGCTTCGCAACTAAACACAGAAAAATAATAATTAATTCTTCTCGATAATTATTGAAATTTAGTTTTCTATTTGTTACATTTTTTATTTTCTTAATTATATTTTTTATTTCTTATTTTATTATATTTTTTTTATATGTTTTCTTTCTTATTATTTTTTTGTTTTATTATATTTTTTAAAAATATTTTTTCTTTTTTTATTATTTTTTTGTTTTATTATATTTAATTTTCTCCACTTGACAATTTTTTCTTCTTAATTATTATTTAATTCTTGTTCGTCTTAAAAAAATAATTTTCCAATTAAAATGACTCACTCGTAGAAAATAAAAGCGATGTTAGATCCAAAAGTGTCGATCAAACTCGTTCGCCAAAAACGATTATTTTTGTGAAACAAAAAAGATTCATTTGTAAGAGGAATATCGTCTTTTGCCAATCCGAGTAAGCAGAGAAATTTTACAAGAGCCCCAGAGTGTGTGAAATACGATACAACAGAGAGATTTTTGTCGGATCTAAAAAGAAATTTTTTTTTTTAGTTAATAAAGAAATTATAAAAGTTATAAAACGATTATAAATTATAAAAACGAATTAATATTTGAATAACGTACTCGAAGAATTCGAACATATTTTTTAAAGTTGTACAAGATTGGTCGCAATTTAAGGAATGTCCATAGCCATCTTTCCAAAAACTTTTCAAATCCTCCGAATATTCCATGACCTAAAAAGAGAATTTAAAATTTTCAAATAAATTCACCAGTTTCTGCGAACTGAATTCAAAAAATTCTTGTGAATAAAAGAAAAAAAAGGTTTAATTAAAAATTTAATAAATTCGATTTGAACATTTTTTACACTTTTAATCTCTTACCTCGAAATCATTCAGAGAAAATAATTCACACCAAGGTGAATCTTGACCCAACGCTGTTTCGAAGCAACACGCGAGATAAATAATTAAAACCGTTTCTGCAAACATTAAAAAACTAGTAAATGTATAAAGTATTAATTAATAAATAAAAATTATCAAAATACAAAAGCTATACATTATAGTAATAATTGTTAAATTATAATAATTGAATTATAATGATTAATTAAATTAATAATTAATTAAATTAATAATTGAATTATAATAATTAATAATAAATTACAATTATTATTAAATTTTTATTATATTTACATAATCACTAAATTTTTTTTTGTGAATAATAAAATATTTACTGAAATCTAATTTTTCTCCAGTTCGTTCTGAAAATTCGTGAAGCATATTTGTTACAGTTCTACTTTGTATAAATTTGTCTCTCTCTTTTGTTGATGCGGGTTTTTTGTGAATATCTTGCTTCCAACGTTTGCATTTTTTATAAAACTGAAAAAATAAAATAATTTTTTTTACCTTCGTATTTTTGTGAGTAAACTTTAAAATTATAATTTAATTTTTCATACTCTCTGCATATTATATTTTTAAATTGCTAATAATAATAATTTTAATAACCTACTCTCAATATCAAATCATCTTTCTGTGCTTCCTCGTAAAAAACATTTTGACTTTTTTTAAGTCCAAATAATCCCAGTGCAAAATTCTTTGCACTCGATTTAGTTCGTTCAGTCGTTGTGTACTTAAACTGAAACATTTTTTTTATTACTTACTTTATTTATTATTTATACTTTCATTCAAGTTTTGATAAAAAATTTTGCTTGCGATAAAATAATAATATACAAATAAATAAGTAAAAAAGTAAAATATTATAAAAATAGAACAATCAAAATTTTTTTTCAAAAACTTATTTTTTGAAATAATGTTTCGTTTATAATTAAAATAAAATAACAATAAAATATACCTTGTATGTTCTGTTATCATAATTCTGGTTCAAAATTCTTGGAAATCGGGATTGAAATCTTTCGGCCAAATCAATCATTTCATTTTCTCCTTCCTCGGCCAATGCCTTTGAATAATCTGGACCAAAAGTTATTTTCCATTTGGAAAGTTTTGCAATTTCCGGCTCATTCAATTTTGTTTTATTGTTGTGGAAATTTTCAATTATGAAATTTTGAATTTTTGGCAGTTCCTCGATAAAGTCGAGAATTTGTTCTCGTCTTGGATAACGTGTTCCATGACGAATTAGAAACCATATCTTCTTTTCTCTGCAACCTGAATTTGGAAATTAATTTTTTATTAATAATTAATAATTTATTTAGAAAATTAATTTTTATTTATTAATTTTTCTATTCAACAAGTTAATTTATATTTATATTATAATAATAATTTAAATAATGAGTTTTTTTGTTTTTTAATTAATAAAAAGTCATAATTTATCATTTTTTTAAACATAATTTTAGTAACGAGTTTTCGATGCAGTAAAATAATAGTAATAATAATAGTAATAATAATAATAATAATTATTATTATTATTATTTATTTATTCAAAGTAATAATTTTTCTTAAAAAAAGTTACATACCAGAAAATTTAATTGGAGAATCTTCATAATTTGCTATAGTTCGATACGGAGCTTTAGAAGCAAATTTACAATAAAAATTATTGTTGTCATCGAAACAGTTTTTCAATCCAGAAATCGAAAGGAATTTAATTAATAGAATTAATGTAAACAAAAACGATAGCCATGAACTCATTTTTAATAAACTTATCAGATCTGAGCTTGAAAAAAAATTAGAATGTAAATTAAATTTATTTTGTGCTATTTTTTATTTTTACTATTTTCGAATTACTATTCAGCATTTTTAAATGAAATCAATTAATTTTTTATTAACAATTATTTTTTATTAGTAATTATTTTTTAATAAAAAAATAGGAAAAACAAAAACGTTTTATTTGAAAAAAAAAATTAAAATCAAAACAGGAAGAATTTTTTATTTATAAAAATAAAGAATTATTTATTAATTAATAATGACAAATTAAAAAAATAAGATTAGGTATTGAATAAAAATTAAAATATATTGTAAATTAAATATGAATATCTTTTCGAACAAAAATTGTATTGGAAAATAAAAGCACAAAATTAAAACTTGTTTTTAAATTGTTATTACAATAATTATGTTCTTATTAATTAATTAATGAAATTAATAAAATTAATGAAATTAATAACAGAATATATAAAAAATTATATTAAAAGAATAAACACGTAAAAATAACAAAAATAATTTACTTTAAATGTAAACATGTCAATAATATTAAAAAAAACTGTAATTAAACTCGAAAAACAAAATTACAGAAAAATATTTTTTTTAAATTTGTTAGAAAAAAACAATTATATTATTGTCAAATAATATTTTTCTAAAATAGAAACAATAGTGTGTTACCTTTATTAATTAAAATTTAAATCATGTTTCCATTTTGTTACTAAAGTGCCAAAAGCATTTTGTTAAAAACAATTTTGATAAACAAATATTTATTACTCCTTATTATAAATATTATAAATATTTTCACAATAAAAACACGGCGACATTTTGACGACGTATGTATTTACCAAGGTATTTACATCGATTCTGACGTTTCTTGCATGTATGAATGGCTGCTATTTCACAGGAGTTAGGTTAGATTAGGTTAGGTTAGGTGAGAATAGGTCAGATTAGGTTATATTTCTCAGTGGCATGTTCGATATGTATTCTGACAAGATTATGTATTTTTCGCCGTATTTATAATTAAAAATATTAATATAAAAAGAAAAAAAGTGAAAAATGGCTTGTAGATTATCAAATTTATTCCGTAAACTTTATATTAATTCACGAGGTAAATATATTTATACTGTTATCATTAATTTTTAAGGAAGGCACTTTGTTTAGGTTTAGCTGTTGAAATTTGTGATTTTTGAATTATTTTCAATTTTACTGATCTGTTATTATTACTTAATTAATTATACAATTAAGGTTGATCGTTTAATTTATTACATGACATAAAAGTAATTTTCGTTGTGATTTTATTTTTATTTTCTTGGACTTAATCGATTTTGGTACATAACCTCAATTTTTAAAAATAGAAAAACAAGTAATATTTGAGGTTATAGTTAATAATATTTTGTATTTTTAAAAACGAAAAAAAAGTAAATTATTTTAAGTCTTTTTAATAATTTTTGTTGATTAGTAATTTTTTACTTAATACATTTTTCTTAATAAATTAATTTTTGTCTTAAATTATTTTTATGTATTAAAGTTAATGACAGTCTCTTCAATATTGTTTATAGATAAATAATTTCTTAATTAGCCAATTTTTAGAAATAATTAAATTTTGAAAAAATTCTTTTTAAGATCTGATTTTTTTTCATTAAAATTTTAATTAAATTCGTCAAAAAAATTTGGTAAGAATTCAATTATTCTTATAATTAACAAAATTCTTCGCGTAAATTCAATTATTTTCATAATTAATAAAATACTTTAGTTAAATTGGTTTTAATAACTAAATTAATTAATTTGGCCTTCTTGATACTTCTTATTAATAAATAATTTTTTTTGGTGACTAAATTAATAATTTTTATAAATTTTATAAATAATTAATAAAATTAATAAATGGATAAATCTTAAAGAAATGGAAATTTAATTATGTTTTAATATATTTATTAAAATAACATAAATTAAAATTTTTACGCTGTGCAATTTTGTTTATATGGTCAAAAAAATTTGCAAAATTAAATTGTAAAAGTCTGGAAATTTAATTTCACACATTAATTATTACATTATTAATTATACATTAATTTAATTTAATACAAGTTCTGAACGTACAAATGAACGAAATATTTTTCATTAAAAGTATTTTCAAAAATAAAAAAAGACTAAAAATAATTGATTAATAAAATAACAGATGTAAGAAAATAGGTTTTTCAATTATAAAATTTATTTCCGTGCTTTTTAGAAGCTAATTAAATAAAATTAGTTTTGAATTTAAATTTGATTTTTTAGGTGTTTCCACCTCAAGTCAACAAATAAATAATCCATCGCCCGTTGCAGTGTCAATATTTCAAAATTTAACAAACAAAAATTCATCATTATCGCAGGAATGGAATTTAAAATTCTCACCAAGAATTATCGAATCAGAATTAAAAATTCAATCATCGCCATTATTATCGGAAACGCCAAGAATAAGTATAATCGATACACCGATATCAATAAATCGACACATAATTGAACCCCTTGGAATAAATTACAATATAAATAATGTTGATGACGATAATGGGAAATTAAATGAAAAATCCATAGATCTTCCAACTTATGGTGATGTGTTTGAAAAATTGGCAGTACGAATGATTGTTATTCGTAGGAGAAAAATGAAGAAACATAAAAGAAGAAAGTTACTCCGAAGAACAAAAGTTTTACGTCAAAAAAGAAGGAGTCGACAGAAGGCAAAAAATGAAAAGCAATTAAAAATTGAAGTTAAATATTTGATTAAAAGAGCCGAAACATATGATGCAAAAAAATTTGTTGCCGGAAAAATTGCAAAACTCACTCAAGAAATAATACCGACAAGATATCGTGGTGAAATATTACCCGAGGCGACGATTCGACAATTTATGGAGGCTGATAAACGAAGGAGGGAGGAGAAAAGAAATCGAAAGCGTTTAACTTTAGACTAAATTTTTTTCAATTTGTAGAACATTTTTTCAATTCGAATAATTACTCTAAATATCATTTAAAAACTGTTCTTTTATTTTTATTATAAAAAAATACGTTGATTGAGATCTATCTATACAATTAGAATACAATTTAACGCTATTTACACTTTTGTTTTCTTCTTGGCACTCTTTTCATGTTCGTAAAAATTAAAAAAAAGGAAAGAAATACGAACATAACTATTTACAAACATAATTTTTATAACATAATTTCATACTGCTTTTTTACACATAAATTAATATCTTGGCAATCCTTTTTTTTCGGTAAGAGACGATTACTAGTTTTTTAATACTTAAAATTATCTTGCCGCTTAATATATATAAAAATTTTATATAAATAAATAAAGGAGTACATTATTTCTGTTCTAATCAGTTTGGAAAAATATCATTTTTCAAATATTTTGATCAGTTCACTTGAACACTAATAATTTTATTTACATTTGTTATTATATAGTAGACAAATAAAAAATAAGTACTAAAGGCAATTTGATTATAATTTCTAATGAAACTTTTAAGTCCATTTTTATTCTGGATATATTTCGCAATGGCATTAAATTCTTTGTGTGGAAAAAGAAATAATTTCTATTTTCTTTTCGTAAATCTTAATCTAATATCGATGGCGACGGTAAATTTGCGAGTACGATTCTATCACAAAATTGAACGTGACAATGTCACAATTTTTTTTTTTATGTAGTTAGTGATTAAAATTGTTATTTTTGTTAAAATGTGTGCCTTGGATAGTTGAAAAGGAATTTTTCATTTGGGTTTCAATGTTAGTTTCTCAAAATTCGAAATTGAAGGTTCAAGTAAAACAAAATCAAATGTTGCATTTTTTGTGAATTTAGCTAATCTTACACTAAATTCGTAATCAGTTTACAATTTTATACCAAAATTCTTCTCCGAAATTTAACTATTTTCAAAAATTTGAATAAAATTCTTCTCTGAAATTCAATTATTTTCAAAAGTTTGAATAAAATTCTTCTCTGAAATTCAATTATTTTCAAAAGTTTGAATAAAATTCTTCTCTGAAATTCAATTATTTTCAAAAATTTTCCTCAATTCAATGATTTTCAATATCTACTATTTTAATCAATTTTTCATCAGAATTCAATTATTTAAAAAAATTTTAAATAAAATTCTACGCAAGCATTTAATTACTTTCGTAAAAAAAAAATTTCACAGGAATTCAATCCTTTACAAATTTTTTTTATAAATTTCTTCGCAATCATTCAATTATTTTTATAAATAATAAAATTCTTTTTTGGAATTCAATTATTTTTAATCAAATTTCTCGAAAAATGTAATTATTCTGAAAAATTTTATTAAAATTCGTCGAAAGAATTCAATTATTTAACAATTTGTTAACAAACTTCTTTATGAGAATTCAATCTTAATAAACATTGAATTATTTATTTATGTATTTAAATAATTGAATTCTCGTAGAATTTTCAAATACAAATTGATTTAAAAATTAATTTCAGTTAAAATTTCAGATAATAATTGAATTTTAAAAGTATAGCTTGAATTTTTGAAAATAATTGAATTTTAAAAGAGGTTTCAAATTAAAATCTTTGAAAATTTGAATTTTTCATACTTTTAACTAACAATTTTGTAGAATTAATTTTTTTTGAAAAATTTTAATTGAATTTTTTAAAATTATTCGAAGTTTTTATTTTTTAATATATATTTTATTGAAGACTTTACGAATAATTGAAATTTTGCAAAATTGAATTGTAAACAAAAGAATTTGAAAATTCTCAAAAAACTTTTTCAAAAATTATTAAAAATAATTGATTTAATGAAGAATTTTAGTTTAAACTTTTATAAAATAATAATTGAATTTGAAATGAAGAAAATAATTTTGAAGAAGTTAGAGTAATAATATTCTTAGAATATAAAATAATATTGAATAATTTATAATATAGAATAATATAAAATAATTTATAATATAAAAAAATATTAAATAATTTATAATATGAAAAAATATTAAATAATTTATAATATTAAATAATATTAAATAATTTATCACTCGATCATCTTTAATTATTATAAAACATGAAGATATTGATTATTCCGAATAGAAGACTCGGAGTGATCGATATCTTCATGTTTTATAACAATTTTTTATAAGTTTAATTTTAAAAAGATTTGAATTTAAATGTTTTGAAAAATTTTAATTCCTTCGGAAAAATAATAATGATTAAATATTAAATAAAATTTTTGTGGCAACCCTGATAGCGTCAAAGCTTAAGCGTCAAAAAAACTTTTTTCTACAAAATCAAAAAAAAATGTAGGCAATTTTTTTTCTAATTTTATTTTAAAATTTTTAAATCGAAAAGTTTTAGAATTCCAGGTTAATAAAAATAGTAAAATTTATTTTATCATTTTTATCACTAAAAATTAATGAAAAAAAAAATAATAATTTTTCCAAAAAAAAAAATAGTTTTTGACGCTAGCGTCGAGGCAGGTTCGCTTAATTAAAAAATTAATCCACTATTTTGAATTTTAAATTTTGAAAAGTAGTGAGAGAACTCTTAACACTCCAAGGCACAGATTATACTTTTTCCCTAAAATTAAATTTTTTCGGTAATATTCTGTTTTTTCCTTAAAAATAATTATTAAGTTCGATTGACAATGAAATTTATCACGATAGATGGAGGGGGAATAGGGTTTCCATTCTCAAGGCATAAAAGTGTGTGATCAAGGCAACACTTGTCCCTTCTCGACATTTAATTTTCTGCTCATCCACATTTTACTGTTAAGTCCCGTTTTCAGTGTATCGCTTCTGCCCGAGAAATAATCCTCAATTTCCTGCAGGGTCTTGCCCTTTGTTTCCGGTAGACACAAATAAAAGTACACCATACCGAATATTGATATAAAACCATATAAAAGATAAGTACCATGAATAGTGATGGTTTCAGTTAAGAGGGGAAATGTTTGAACCACAGAGAATACAAAGGCATGCGCTGACATTGTTGTGAAACCACCAAGAAGACCTCGCACCTGAACTGGATACAGTTCTCCAATCATTATCCACGGAATCACCAGAAAGCCGAGGGTGCAAGCTGCGGTGTAGAAAATGAGGCAGAACAGTGGAAACCAGGTCCAACTATGCTCCATGTTATTGTCACTCCAGTAGACTTTGATCCACTCGTAAATTCCAAAGGCTATCATTGAGATACCACAACCGAATGCGGAGATCATTGTCAATGGTCGTCTACCACATCGTCTGCAGAGGACACAGGCGACAATTGTGAACACTAGTCGAACGATTCCAATAATCACGGTTGCTAGGTATTTATTTATCGTTGCACCGGAGTCTTGGAATATTTTCGCCGCGTAAAATGTCACGGCATTCGTTCCAGTCCATTGGTAGATGAGAAAGTAGAGCATTAGAATCAAGAATGGTTTGACGGCGTTTGGTTTCAGTAGGGCGCTGGTTATTTCCCTGAAGCCCGTGAGTCTTTTGATGTTATTCTTATTGGAGAAGTTGAGTAGAAGATTCATTTCCTTGTCTAAATTGTAATTGCTGTCGCGGAATTTTTGCAGGGATATTCTCGCTTGTTCGGGTTTGTTTTGTGAGATGAGGAACGATGGTGTTTCGGGAAAGAGGAACATTAGGAGGAGTGCGGCGAGGGGGAGAACGGCACTTATTGCGGCGCAAACATTCCAGGAGAGGAGACTTCCCAGGGAGTATTCGATGAGAACACCGGTACTGACGCCGACACTGGCGAAGGCCGTCAGCATTCCTCGTAGATGAGGTTGGGTGACTTCGCTGGCGTAGACGCGCGCTGGGGCACCGACCATTCCTGAGCCGAGGCCGGTGAAGAATCTTCCGGCGTAGATCATGTTCACGTTGGTGGCGCAGGAGATGAGGATCCAGCCGATTAGGGCCGGCACTTCGGTGACGATGAGTGAGGCCTTTCGGCCGAATATGTCCATTAGGTAGCCGGACAGGAGGCAGCCGATGGGGGTTCCAATCGCCGAAGTGCTGGCTGTAAAGAAATTAAGGTTGTTAGTCTTTTGTTTAGTCTAAGATGTGGTAAATTGGACATTAATACTGAATCTTAAAAATAGAGGTCTGTGGGTATTTTTTGGGTGGGTTTCGTATGAATATCAGTTTAGTATGGTCTTGACCTGTGTACAGATTACTTTTATTCTTGATGGTAACTACTTTATATCTAAAACTGTATTATTTCTTGATCCTCACAACACTACATTACAGAAACAGTGTACTTTAGTGCTGTGGAGTTTAATTTCAATCCACTTGGTGCACTTCAGACAATTTTTAGACGTTTTAGGAACATTTCTAGAACAAACACGTTTCCGTGCCCCCTCTGGGCACGGAAACATATTTGTTCTAGAAACGTTCCTAAAACCACCTAAAACGTTTTTGGAACGTTTCATGTCCTCCACATAACGTATTAAAAACTTTTTATGTTCTAAAAACGGTATTAGAACATTGGACGTTCTTAAGTTGTTATGTAGCGGAAATAAAACGTTCCAAAAACGTTTTTTGGAACATAAAAATGTTAAAAGAAAAATTAGGGACAAAATTGAATGTAATGTGCTTAGAACATTTTACTAATTGCCACCTAAATACTTTTTAATTCCAAAGTTAACAGCTTTATGATCTAAAAATGTTGTCTGTTTCTGGTGCTATATTTGAAGTAGTCGCAGCATTAAAATTAATCAGTACCATTACTAATGCTACAGGTCAGGGATATCAGGGAAAAATCAACGATTTTTATTAAAAGTACTGGAAAAAATTAAATGTTTAGAATTTATAAAAAAATTCTGAATTTTTAGTTTAATATTATTTAATTATTTCAAAAGTTGTTAATTATCTTAAAAAATAACAAAATTCGTCACTGAAATTCAATAATTTTTAGGAATTTCAAATAAAATTCTTCGCAAAATTCAATTATTTTCTTATAAATAATGATATTCATGACAAGAATTCAATTATTTTCAAAATTAATAAAATTCTTCGAAGAAATTCAATTATTAATTAAAAATTTTAACGAATTCCTCGTCAAGAATTCAATTATCTTTATAATTAACAAAATTTTTTTCGCCAAAAAGTCAATTATTTTTGAAAAATTTAAATAAAATTTCTTGCAGACTTTCAATTATTTTTAAAAACTTTTCGTAATTCAATAATTTTCAATATTTATTTTCATAAAAATTATAAAAAGATTTAATTATATTGAAAAACGTTTTTTGATACAATTCTACGAAAACATTCAATGATTTTCATAAATAATAAAATTTCATTTAGGAATTTGAATTATTTTCATCACAGAATTTTAAATTTCAATTTAAATTTTAATAGCATTTTAAATAAATTCCTCGAAAAATGCAATTATTATTCTTAACAATTTTATTAAAACTTGAAAAAAGAATTCAATTTAAAAAAAAATTGAATTATTAAAAAAAAATAATAAAATTCATTGAAATGATTCAATTATTTTCATAAATAACTTTTAATTCGTTGCAGAAACTCAATTATTTTAAAAAAATTTGAAGTAATTCTACAAAAGAATTCAATTATCTTGAAAAATAACAAATATGTTAGTTACCATTTTTTTAGCCCAAGAAAGCAGAAATAAAATTAGTAAAAAGTCAAGGAATTATTTTCTCAGTCCTTGTTAGACACACTACTTAAATAAGTAAAGCGTTTTTGAAAAGCCCAAAAATAATGAAACTAAATGCCATAAAAAAAAGAAAAAATGTTGATTTTTAAAAAATTCGGTTTTTCGAATTTTTGATAATTTTAAACAAATTTAAATTTTTTACCAAAAAGTGGAGACTATTAAATAAGTGAAGTATTTTTAAAGAGCACAAAAATATTGAAGCTAAATGCCATAAAAAAGAGAAAAAAATGATGAATTTTAAGAAATTCGGATTTTTCAATTATTGATAATTTTCGATAATTTTAGATTTTTTACCAAAAAGTGGAGATTATTTAATAAGTAAAGTATTTTCCAAAAGCACAAAAATATTGAAACTAAATGCCGTAAAAAAGAAGAAAAAATGTTGAATTTTAAGAAATTCGGTTTTTTGAATTTTTGATAATTTTAGATTTTTTACTAAATTTTTAAAAATAATTGAATTATGAAAAAGTTTCAAATTAAAATCTTTGAAAATCTAAATTTTTCGTACTTTTAACTATAATAATTGATTTAAAGAAGAATTTTAGTTGAAAATTGTAGAAAATAATAATTACCGATCCACGTTCTTTGATCGCTGGTGGTCACCAAAGTGTCGTTTGAATCTTGAAGTTGAACATTGGCGATCGCTGCAAAGCCAAACACCATTCCAGTATTAATTGTTCCTAATTGTGCGACAAGTGCGGCTAAAATTTGTCTAAATGCACTGCCCCTCGCTCTTTTATCTTCATGATGATGGTGATAAACATAATTTCCATTTTTTGTTCCTAAGGAATTTTTTTCACTCTCCAGGAGTGTTGAATTCTGTATCGATGGAAGACGTCCTGAATCGACCAGTGTCGCTTTTTCTGGATCTTGAATCTCTGCAGATTTTCTGAAAATTAAAACAAAAATTTAACATTAGGCTTTTTTTCTACATAGAAATTATTTTTAATATTTTCTAAATTCATTTTCTTATTGTTTTTATCGTAACCTTTAAAAAAAAATTATTATTACTACTATTTATTTTTAATATTGAAATTTGACAAGAGACAATAATATAATGTATTATTGGAAAAATATGTTTGGAACTTGAAAAATAAATGAATTTTATTTTCTGAAATGCGGTTTTCAATCTCAACTAGAATTTTGCAACTCGGTAAAAAGTCATTGTGACTGTTCATTGTCGCATTTGTTCGTCTATCTGCTGACATTCAGATAACAGTTTTAAAATGAGATATTGAATGTAAAAAGAAATATCAAGGAAAAGTAATAATAAACAAAGTGAATGTTTCGCTACTTTGAAAATTATTCTGTATAAAAATTAATCGGAAAAAAGTGAGAATACAAAGATGAAATAAAAATTTCATTAAAAATTCCCTTTTATTTTTTTTAAACATTTTAGCAAAAAAAAGTATTAACTAATTTATTGAATTGAAAATAATTAGAAAAGAGATATTTTCTCTCTTTTTACATCATTTGATATTATTATTATAAATTAGGGAATTAGGGAAAAACTTTATTTAATTTAAGGCACACTTGAACCAGTAATAATTATAATTAATGTTAATAATTATTTTATTATTAAAAATTAATATTCAACCAAAAGTTAACGTTGTATAATAAAATTTATTTCATAGCTTGGAAATAATATATTTTTCAATATTATTGACGTAACAAAATTTTCATTAATTTTTAACTTTCTAATTTTGACAAAAAAAAAGTAATTTTTTTGTTTATTTATTATCCTTGTCATTGTCGGGAGTTTTTTTTTAAGAACTGCGTTATCGTCATCTCAAAAAACCGGTTTTGATTGATGAATCCTAAAGTCCATTTATTAACGCTATTAAATTAGTATTTAAATTAATATAGAATTTTAAAAATATTTTTTGGAAAACAATATTTTCAATTTTTTGCAAATTTTAAAAATATTTTTATGTATAGTTTGTTTATAATAATTTTTATATTTCAAGATTATATTTTTTTTTAAATAATTATTTTCAATTTGATGCAAATTTGATTCTTTTTATTTAAAATTATTTTATTTATTTGGTAAATGAATTTGTGAATGAATTATTTTTTTTCTATGACTTGTCTAATAAACTTTCCTATACTTTTTGTGATTAAAGCCATGACCGTAACCCTCAAACCTTGAAAAGAACGTTTCTCATATTCTATGTTTAGACGCGCGTGTGGAGTTCGATAAATGCGTTCCAACTAATTGCTATTAAACTCATAAACTTTTATAATATTTAATATAAGTGTAAAATATAATAAAAAAAATTATTTATAGAAAATGAAAATATTCGTAAAAGAAAGAATTTGAACTCATCTTTTTTTTAAATATTTTTTTGTAGTAAATTTTGCATTTAAAGTTAAAATTGCTTTTTGTTTCATTTCGCATTTTATAATAAATTAAATTTTCATTTTCATTAAAATTATTAAAAATTGTTTATAATAATATATTATTGTTTAATTATTTAAGAGGCCTTGTACGGTTTTTTTTTATTTATTTTTTTATTTTTTATTAAGTATTACTTTAAAATACTATTATTTTATTTTATTAATTACTTATTTCAATTAATGTAATTAATAAAAATGATTATTAAAATTATTTATTATTACATGTAATTATTAGTTTGACAAAAAACAAATTCTTTTCATATTGAAAGAAGCAACGCGGCAGTTAAATTGAAAAAGAATTGGAAAAAAGAGAATAATGAATAATGTTTACCAAGTAGTTTATGAAATGTTTTTGTTAACTAAAGAGTTAATTTTCTATTAGTTAATATGACCGCGTATTCTTAAGCTTCCGAAGAACTAGAATTTTTTTTCTTTTTTTTCCTTTCGAAATTATAACAGTTCTTATTTTCAAACACTAATGAAAATAAAATTATTAAATATTAATTTTTTCGCAAAATTAAAAAACGAAATCAGTACCAAAAAATTAGCAATAAAAAAAATAAAAATTGATTTGTATTAACAAATTATTAAATTAATTTATTATTCAACCTATATTCCAAATGCGAAATTTTAATTTTTCGGTAATTTTCCCTAAAATAATAGTAAGAAATAAATTGTTGACAAGTAATTGTTGACAACAAAGTGACTTAATATTTTAATCTACTCATCAGGTATACTATGTTTTATCAAGTGTAATTTTTTTTTCTATTTCCTTTTTTTATTTTTGCACAATGCTTTTGTTTATCGAAATACGAGAAAAAGAAATGTGGAATTTCCTTGATAAAGGAATATTCATCTATATATGTGTGAGTGTGTTAATAATATACAAAGAGAAATTATACAAAGAGAATTTGAAATTCGTACTGGAAATTTTTTGCATGAACGTGTCTCGTCTTGATTCAATGTGTATGCAATAATAATAAAAATATAAATAAATAAAATTCAAGGGCAAAAAGGAATTTAAAACCAGAAATATGTGACTAGTAAAAAAGATGAAAGAGAAGGCATTATTGTTTTATTAATAGAAATTGAAAAATGATTCTTATAAATATTTATCTTATAAATATTTTTTTTTATATTTTAATATTTTTTTAATACTTTAATATTTTTTCTATATTATTTTATAAATATTTTATTTTTATACGTATTATTTTGTTAATATTTCTGTATAAAGAAGAAAACGTTTGTCAACGTTAACTATTTTTTGATAATAAATTAAAGAGATGCATTTTTTTTTGTTTTCCAAATATCAGCCTCACTTTGCGTGTTTGCATGAGTCAAAACAACATTTAGTGAAAAGTGAATAAACTTTGCTTTCAGGAAAGTCCCAGACAGACAAACAAAAGCATTTGTTATACAATATTGAAGGAATATTTCTTTATACTTTCATAATTTCTGTTAACACTCAAATATTGAATATTGAACCAGTTTTTATATTTATTTTCAAAAAATTTCCAAATTTTTATTTCAGCATTTTATTTCTAGAAAAAAAAAAATTTTTTTCATGGCACAAAAGAACATTTTGTCGAAAAGAGAAATTTTAGAGGAAGAAAAGAAATTGCACGTGAAATTTGATTCAAGGTCTGTTACAGTATTATTTTTGAAAAAAAACGAAATTTTGAAAATCAAAATTAAATTTTCAAAATAAAAAAAAATTTTAACTCTATCGTCATGGTAATCGTTTTCTACTAAAATAAAGTCGACGATTTCAAATCAGACATCAGAAGGAACAAATAATAATAATAAAGTATTAATTAATTGGATTTAATAAAAGTAGAATCGAATTTAATTTAATTAAAAATTAAAATCGATTTAAGGTGTTGTAGAGTGGTGCATTATGAATAAAATTAAAAAGCAGAAAATAAGTGAAATAATTTGTAAGGAATAAAAGAGATTTTTAGATATGATTTAAACGCTATGCTTCTTTATTATTGTACGATAAAGTTGAATCCCACTCTGTCTACTTGTCTACTTGAAATGTCTAAATGTCTCCACGGAGTCTATCTTGACCGACAATTTGTACCGTTGCATATTAATAGATTATATAATTGCATCATGAACATTAAATAGATTCAGCGTTATCTTCACATACACTCATAAATTTAAAGAACAATTTATAGAAATATATAAAATACAGAATTTTCCATAATTATTTATTGCACTTTTTGCTATTTAAAACCTAAAATGAAATTTTACTTTTAAAAATATTTTTTGTTGGAATTTTTTATTCCCAAAGATAATTTAATTATTTGTCTAAAAATTTCTGCGAGAAATTGAAAATTTTGCTATGGAATATTAAGCTAATATTGTTGTATTATTACAACAATTATTATTACTGAAATAATATTGTTGCAATACATTGAGTATAAAGTGTTAATATAACTTTAATTCATAGAAGAATATTTAACTCTAAAGAAAAATATTTTCCAATTCAAGTTTTGTTAGCTTTGTGTAAAGTCTGTTTTAAAATTTAATTTTGTAACTAATATTTTGTAAAATCTTGAACGTATAAAATAATATTTTTTTTTATTGAGAAAATATTGAAAATAAATTTTGTTGAGAAAAAAATATTTTCAAAAAATTTATTTTAGAAAATTTATTTTTAGTATTTTGAACCTGTGGAAAATTGGATTTGGCTATTTTCAGATGTTTATTTATTTTTCTTTTCAACGTTTTCTCTGCGAAATGTATAAATAAATTTTCCTGATGGTAAAATTTTCTTATTTCACTGATTCAATTATTGTTTTAGCTGAATTTTCAAATTGAGAATAAATTCAGTGTAAATTTCAGTGAATCATATTCTAAAATTAATAAAGTTTATTATTTTGGTATTATTTATTATTTACTAATTAATAATTTTTAAAAATTATTATTATTATTATCATCATTAAAAATAAATGAACTTTGGCGAATAATCAGTGAATTTTTCCGCATTAAAATTTCAGTTAGATAAAAATTTATTGATCATTCTTTTTATGATGAAGTCTTTGTTTTCAAATTATGTTCGCTTAAACATTTTTATTGTTGTTTTTTATTGTAAATGTTGATGGAAAATTAATTTCTAAATTGAAATTTATCCTCTAATTGAATTTTAAATAAATTAAATCTTGAATGCATAAATAATTATTATTTATCTATTAATTATCAATATATTTTTTCCAAACACTATTAACAATTTTTTATTTTTTATTTCGTTGTTGATTTGTCGAATAATCAATTAATTAATTAATTCGTTTATTTGTCTGTTTATTTATTGATTTAGTTATAATATTTATTCAGTTATAATTAAAAAAAAAAAAGTTTTTTATAAGGTTTATAATTATTCAGTTACTTTATTAATTTAATTTTGTCTAAACTAACTATTTTTAATAATTTAATTACTTATAATTATTGGGCAATAATAACTGTTTATTAATTATTCACAAGGCCGTATCTTATTTTATGTTATTTTTTTCTATTGTTAACTGTTGTTAATAAAATTAATAATAAAATTATCTTCTTTTTTTTTAAGGCAAAAATGGTCAAAATAAATCAGTATTTAAATTAGTTTGCAGTAAAAAAAATCGCGGGGGAATAAAATTATTTCTTTTTTGTTTAACAATAAAATATTTCTCTCGAATCTTTATTGTAAGAAAATAAAAATTGTTTGTTAATAGTGTAGCTAAAATAAAAAATTCTCTATACAATCATTTTTCTTGTAGTAAAAAAAATCAAATTAAAAAATGTTTTTACTGAAAGAAAGTTCTATTTACAAATTGTCTCACTATTGAAATACTTAAAAATAATTTTTACAAATATAAAAAATATTTACAAAAATAATTTTAATACAAAAATAAATTATTAATAAAAATTTTATCACAAGAATAAAAAATAATTACAAAAATAATTTTAATAACAATAATAATATCTAGTAGGTAATATTAATAATTTAGGTCTCACATTTGTTGAACAAATAAATAATTAATAATATATATTACAATAAATTAAGTAAACAGAAAATAAAAATAATTTCTCAGAAAAAGAACATTTTTTTTCTCTTATAAATTTTTTTTTAATTAGACATATATATATATTTTATGAAATGTGATAAATTTTCATTTGGCAAAAATCTCATTGCTGATGATGGAATTAATTTATTGGCATTGCATCTTTTTTTTCTCGTTAAAAAAAAAATATAGTCAAAGTGTAGGTTGAGTCTATGAATAAAATTTTATTCATTACTCAATCGATCGAGTGAATGAGTAAGAGAGACAGAGAGAGAAGAGAGCTTTATAGAATCACGTGGAAGAGAAATGTACCGCATAAATTCAGACTACTTTGTGGTTCGTCATTTGTAGGATTCTGATGACGCAATTCCCGTAGAAAATAAGTTGTTCATCTTTTTAAAGTTTAATGCCCTCGTGGAGAAAGTCAATATTACACGAAGGTCATTATTCCTATTTCATTTCCACTTTTCTGCGATAAACAAATGCAGTGAAAAAAAAATACGAAAAAAAAAATTATTACACTTAATTTTTATTTATTTTTTCTTTTTTTTTGTTTTTATAACTTTCAGAATTTAAAAAAAAATATGACGAAATTTTTTTCGCTATTTTTGAAAATATAAAGTTTTTTCTATGCTGTCAATAATTTTTAAGTATAAAAATTACATTATCTTTTCAAAGTCACGTTTCTCCTTAAATTTTTATTTATTTATTTTATTTATTTAATTTTTGGTGAAATTTTTTTATATTTTTAATTATGTAATTTCGAATGCAAAGACAAAATTTGAGGAAAGTATAAAATGATGATAATAATAATAATTAAAATAATAAAAACCGTTTAAAAAAAAATCCGAGCAGGTGATAAACATTTGTCGTCTTAATTTTCAGTGTCAATACAGCTGATGATATTTTGATAGAAACGTGTTTGAGCATTTACATTTTGGCATAAAATTATTTTATTACATCACAAATTTGCAATGAGAGATTGTTAAAACTATAAATTTTTTTCTTTTATATTTTTCAATTTTCCCTTTTGTTTTTTATATAATTTACAAAAAACAAATGAAAAAAAATATTATAAACGAATAAAAAAATTATACATTTTTATAAAAAAAATGAATTAAAAATGAAATAGTAAATATTAGAGCAAACATCAAAAGTAAGTAAATATTAAAAGTAAAAATTATAAAAATTATAAAAATTATAAATATTATAAATAAATTATAAAGAATTAAATTTTGAATAATTAAATTCTAAATAATAAATGATTAATAAAGAATTTAATTTAATTAAACTAAATAATTAAATTGTAAATAATAAATAATTAAAATTGTAAATAGTAAATAATTAAATTATAAATAATAAATAATGAATTAAAAATGAAAGAGGACTCGAAATATGAAAGAGAATTAAAAAGCAGTTTTATTGGCATATGATGAACTATATTAGTGATTTTTTTCTATTTATAAAAGCAAAATGAGAATATATTCAACAGGTGAGACTTACTCAGCCATTGTGGAGTTCGGTAAGGTTGACAACTTAGTCTCAAGAAATTATATCACAGTCAATTATATTAAAATCACAATACGTCGACTTATAATTATGACTATTTTTTATTATTTTTCTATTATTTATTATTTCCCTAAAATAAATGACTTTGTGCTGTATTATTTACAAATATCAAATCTTGAACCAATTGAAAAATAAATTTTTCCCAATTCTCATAGAAAGAAATTGGAAATAAAAATTCTCTTTTTTTTTTTTTTAAATCACAAATTTGTCCAAATTGTCCGGCCAATTTCGTAAAACCCCGCGAGAAGTTTAGCACGTCTCTCACGATTCATCGGTACTGTTTTTTTTAACCGAGGGTTTATTTTATTTTGATGTAAACACAAAAATGTAGGCTTCGAATTTCTTTTGTGCGATTTTTTTGTCGACTTGTAAAAAAAAAAAATTCACGTCTTGTCGCGCTTCTGAATCGAGTGCAACTATTGCTTCGTGTGTTATACTCGCGAAGCGAATGTACTCAAGTGAGAAGCGGTCAAAGCTTTATATATAAAACGAGCTTTTCGTAAACGCTCAGTGGTAATGTGGAGAGGGGATGTGCGTATGTCATATAAGACATCTATATATACATATATGTATAATTTTTATTGTCCAACGAGTGAAACTTGAAAAATTTTCTTGATAATAAATCGTTGAACCTGCATCAAATTTTAGTTTTTTGATTTTTGATTTTTAATAGTTGGGAGAAGAGAATTTTTATTTTTTTTTTTTTTTGGTAGATTTTGACAAAAGGAGGGTGGGCCAAAAAAAGTTGCCAAAAAATGTATTATTTAGAAAAAATAGTATGAAGTAAATTTTACTATTTAGAAAGTAAAAACCAAACTAGGAATTTTTGCAACTTTTACTATTTCTAGTTTTTTTTTTATTAAATGATTACTTTTTCAAGACATTTTTGTTCCTTCTGACTTTAGATTTGAAATCGTCGACTTTATTTTAGTAGAAAACGAATACCATGTTGGTGGAGTTTAGAAAAACCAAAAAGTCGAAATTTTATTTTCAAAAATCCGAATTTTGATTTTGAAAATCCAAAATTTCATTTTTGGGAATTAAAAGTCAAAACTGTAGTATTTATTAGATCGATTGTAAGATGCAAAAGAATTGATTGAACAAAATTCGAAAAAGTCGTTTCTTTTTTTCTACCAAATATAATTTTATTATTTATTTACAAAAATAAAAAGAGACAAAGCGTTAATAATATTTTTTGTTCTTTCTGGTCTCAGATTTGAAATCTTCGACTTTATTTTAGTAGAAAACGAGTACAATGTCGATGGAGTTTATTTTTAAAAAATCCTAATTTAATTTTCAAAAATCTGAATTTTGATTTTAAAAATCAAAAATTTGATTTTTCGGAATTAAAAACAGCAAACATTAATTTTGATGGTTGATTTGAAATCACTGACTTTATTTTAGTAGAAAACGAGTATGAAGTCGATGGAGTTTATTTTAAAAGAAATCCAAATTTCGATCTTGAAAACCAAAATTTTGATTTTTTGAAATTTTTACATTTTTTGAAATTAAACATATAGAGAGACTTGAGTCGACTTTAAGGTACCTGAAAATCGATTGAAGGAACAAGAAAAATTGAAAAGATTTCTTAGTTTTATTTTCTACTAAAAATAATTGATTAAATAATTAATTAATATAATTAATTATTAATAATTTTAATAATTAGCTAATATTTTATTATTATCATGAATTATTAGATATGAAATAATCTTTAATATACTTTCTTAGTAAGGAATAGTTCCATAGAAATATTTTTAGTATAATACAAAATACAAAGAATGTTCATTGATAGTTTTTTCTTATCCCAATAATTGACCCATCATTCATAATTAAAATATTTTTTCGATTGTCTAATCGAATGAAAATTTTGTATGAACTAGAATGTCAACAACATTAAAAGAGGCGAGCGGTAAAATTATAGATAACATTTTTACTTATATGATTATAATTGAAGAGATAATCAAGATAAAATTATGAAACACGCGTGTATAAAATAGTTGCTACTGTTTTGTGCATACTTTCATAAAAATAGAACTGACATTATTAATTTATTCAAATTTTTGGCTACAATAATTAATATTAATTAATATTAATTAATTTTTAATAATTTTTCATATTTTCAATTTTTTATTTGTATTTTTATATTAATTAATTAATTTATATTGATTTATTCTTATTTTTTAAAGTTTTTTTTTTAATTTCGAATAAAATTAATTAATAATTATAAAAATCATAATTATAATTGTAAAAATTATTATTAGAATTGGAATAATTATAATAATTATTAATTATAGAATTATGAAAATGTAAAAATACAGAAATATAAAAATTGTAAAAATAATAAAAATTATTAAAATTAATAAATTTTGACTATGTTTTTTAAAGCTCTATTTAATTTTTTGTGTAAAGCTTTTTCTAAACTTGTTTTTTATAATTATTTCTATTGAAATTGAATTCGATCATGTATATCTTGATTTCTTTAATTTAATTAGATAAAAAAATATTTTTTTATTGACATGAAGAAATGTTTAGCCACACGATTGTCACGTAATGCTTTCTTCAAAGCTGGTTTTTTCTGGCAAAACTGGTTTTCAAGAAAATAAACATTGTTTTTTGTAAATTAATACAACATTTATTAACAATAATCAATTTTATAAAAAATAAAAAAGATTAATTAATTTAATCACATGTTAATAGTTATAAAAAAATAGTATTTGATCAAAAATAGATTATTTTTGGAAACTTTTTCAATTTTTTATTGTAAAATCAATGAATTTATTTTCATAGATGAAAAAAAAATTATTTAAATTACATTTCGAATATTTCAACTTTTTAAAAAGTGTAAATCGATTGTATTATTCATAATTATTATCAAAGAATTTGATAACGCATAACTTCTTTGTTTTTTAATATTTAAAAATTTATCGATTGATTAATTTGTAATTAATTTTCGATTATAATTTTATAAAAAGAATTTTTTTCTTTTTGCTGTTTTGCAGTTTTATTTATTTGCGGATAATCGCCTATCAACACTTAAATTTCGCATTATCATCGCTTATCATTTTAACTCGTGACTGTTTTTTCAAGTTTGGATTTTTTTAAAAAAAAATTTTTAATTAACCTACAAATAATATTAATTTTAAATTAATGTTTAGTTCAAATTGCAAAAAATTGAGTTCAAAATGTTTATTTTGCTCTAGCCAATAAAATATTTATTTTATTATAATTAATTATAATTACTTATAACAGTAAATTGTAACCACTTTTAGTATTAATTGGAATTAATTACAATATACTAATCTGATAAACTCAAATTATTTAATTTATTTTTCAATTCAATTAAAATTCTTTTTATTTAATAAATTGTAAAAAAAATTAAATAATATCATCACTATTATTATTTTTGACTCACTTGGAAATCTTATCGTGATTAAATTAGAGACAAATAAGCTGTATTATTACGTTAATAAAAATAGATAAGTCAGTTTTTCATTGTTGTTTGTCGCAAAAGAATAAAAGATAATCCACACTGATTTTCTCAATTTTTTTTTTATTTGGAATTTTTACGCTATCAACAGATGTTAGTTTGGCACGTGAGCGAATTCTTTTTTTTAAATGACAATGTAGATTGAATTATATTTGAAAATAATTAAAATTATAGTTTTGATAAATATTTATTTTACTTACTGGGATGTTGATTGTCGAGGTAAATTTGAATCGAATGTTGAGTAATTTATTTGATTTGACATTTTCGTGTGTGGTTCTCGCTGAATAATAAGTGCTGACTAAGTTTAATTAAATTGTTTCTGCAGGCATTATCAAAGCACGAGTTTCACTATCAATCGCGAGTCATGTGCTCTCAAGTTTAGTCAGAGCTTTTTTTTCTTTTTGAAAAACTATATGTATGTGTATGTTTACTATAACGCAACAGTTGGTATTTATTTCTTTCTAGAATCTCTTAAATTAATCTGAATTTATATTTAAATGCATTTTTTTTGTCATCGAATTTTCATTTGAGTTAACTTTCGATTAGGAGATTTAAAGAAAATTCTTTTAAACAAAAAGAGGGTCAAACAAAAAATTACTGTTTGACCCTCTTTTTGTTTAAAAGAATTTTCTTTAATTAATAATTTAAAAATCCATAATTAACCGAACGTTAAATTAGTCGAATTTTCTAAGTGCAGAATTATCACTTCGACGAATTTTTATTTTCACGAATTGTCTTTGAATTGCTTTGGGGAGAGTGGGGAGACGCGGGCGCATCTTTCTCGCGTCGTTTTCTCCCACCGTGGCGCCTTCCCCCACTCCGGACGGGCTGGTTATATAAAAGGCGTTCGCTACAAGTCTCGCCACTCCGCATGCTTCCTTCCCTCGATACGGATCGATATTTTAATTTATTTTTCACCCAAATAATTTATTTCACCATTTTTTTTAAATACGAAATAAAAAATCGTTTATAATAAAAAAGAAAGTTAATTAATAATTCTCCTAATTGAAAATTAAGTTAAATAAAAATTCGGCTACGTATAAATTTCTTTTAGTAAAAATTTAAATTCAATTAAACAAAAATTCTATCCAATGATCTTTACAGCAAAAACATGTAATTTTAAAAATACATAATAGTAATAATTATTAATAGAAATAATTATTAATATCAATAATAATAAAATTCATTATAATATATTTTGTATAAATATTTAAACCTCTCTAATTCAGAAATAATTCTTTTTATTCTAGAAAAAAATTTTCTTCTTTCCTGATAATATATATAAATAAAAATAATTTGTGTGCAACTATAAGAATATTTTAATAACATTTTAGAACATATTTCGAAATATTGCGCTGCAATGTAAAAATAAAGATCTTGTTTTTTTCTGGAAATTGTCAGCGAATTATTTACATGTTCTGAAAGAATTTATTTTTTAGAAATAATTATTGTCTATTCTACTTAAAAATGTTCTATAATCGGCTGCGTTTAATTAACATGTATGTATGCGCATTTTTTTTGTACTTATGAATTCTTCAATTGCACTCAATCCTTGACGAATAATTAATGCTTTCTTATAAAGGAAGTAATTTTTTTTGGCACAAAGTGCAATATAGTTAGTTTTTTTTACATTCTACATTTACTGTATTTTATAAATAAGAAAACAACCGAAGAATATTTAATTTGCGAAATAAAAAAAAATGGACATTTCTTTTATTTAATAACTCGAAGGGTGGGACAAAAATAGTTTCTACCAAGAAGCTTGAAAATGAAAAAAAAAATCGACAGGAATTTAATGGTAATTAATTAAATTTTAAAAGTGATTAATATTTAAAAATTGCGGCTTGAAAAATTGTATAATATTTTACCTATAATTGCAATGGTTACATAAAAAGTTTATTTTTTCTAAAATTGCTCTTTAAAATAAAAAAAAGAGAAAAAAAAACTTTAGTTGAACGAGTTTTTAACCAGTGGAAAAGCACTC